TGAGCGGACTCGGGGACTGGAGCGGGCTCTGGGACTGAAGCAAGCCCGGGAGTGGACACGGGGACTGGAGCGGGCTCATGAGCGGACTCGGGGACTGGAGCGGGCTCATCAGCGGACTCGGGGACTGGAGTGGGCTTGTGAGTGGACTCGGGGACTGGAGTGGGCTCGTGAGCGGGCTCTGGGACTGAAGCAAGGTCGGGAGTAGACTCGGGGACTGGAGCGGACTCGTGAGTGGACTCGGGGACTGAAGCAAGCTCGAGAGTGGACTCTGGGACTTGAGTGGGCTTGTGAGCGGATTCGGGGACTGGAGCGGGCTCGATCAAACTCATAGGCCGGAGCGGACTCATGAGAGCGTTGTCGTGTACATCGTTGTTGTGTAGATGTACCCAAGCCCTCAAGATCTGAACCTTTGATCCGCTGCAAAATGTCAGAGTGTTTGGTGAAAATAAATAATTTCATAATAAAAGCACGATTGGAGTTATTAGGGTCACTTCCTCTAGATGTTTGTTTACTCTGCAAGCATAATATTTCTGTGAAACATCATGTACAGAAGCTGTGAATTAATATATTTCATGTTGAGTAACTGATGTTTTGTAGGGGGCTCCGGGTGAGACGGGACAGAAGGGTGACGCCGGTCCTTCAGGACTGCAGGTAAATCACTCACTGCTCTCCTTCGCTCTCTGTCTGTCTGTCTGCTGTGTGTCTGAAGATCATCTTGTGTTCCTGTAGGGTGTTCCCGGCTCTCCAGGGCCTGCAGGCCGCGACGGGCATCCAGGATCGCGGGTAATGTGTCCGTCACACGTGCTGTCGCTCATCATGCTAACGCTGCGCTCGGCCGTATGATCACGTGTGTTCTCGTCCTCCACAGGGTTTGCCGGGTCAGGACGGCCCTCAGGGACGAGTGGGACCACCGGGAACCATAGTGAGTCCACAAACACGCGTTAGAGCATGTTGACGTGTGATAGAGGTGTCGTAAGGGTCATATTAGAGCAGCACGGTATATCGAAATAAAATCAATATCGTGATATGGCCTAGTGCAATTGTCAAAAATCAATATATGTATTTCAGAGTAAAGCGTGTTACTGTGTTCATTTACACGCGTGCAGCTCATGATCATGGCCCCCCTTGCCATATTACAAAAGAAGGGAAAAAATAGGGGAAATTCAAAATTCAATTTTTGTTTCAACTTTTTTTTTTTTTTTCTTGCATTGAAATGTAAAAAACTGTGAGTTTGATTAAATATTTAAACATAGAATTTTTTTTTTGTTTAATTAAAAATGTTTACTTTTTTATAATATAATATAATATATTTGGACATGCAACATTTACTTTCAATCAAATTTGATTTTTGGCCCTTAATATTAAAATATTTATTTAAATGTTTATTTGCTGGCAAACCATCAGAATTAATGATTTAACATTGAAACTGAAGAAATTAGTATGTAAATATTATTACTGTAATTTTACAGCTGTGCTATAAAATAAAATGTTCTATTTATTAAATAGAACATTTTTATTTTACAATACAAAAAAATCCCTACTTTATTTAATATTTTTATAAAGTAATAATCTCAAATAAAAATCATAATAACAAATATTATTTTATTGCCATATTAAATAAGTCAACAACAGTGGGAATGTTTTTGTTTTTTTACGTCAAGTCACCTTTACTTCTTTAGCGCTTTATGCTAAATAAATGTTTCAACACCCAAGTTTTTCCCAAACTGTTGAGCCCTAAAAGGATGGTTTGCACTCAAGAAATAGTATTTTTTTAATGTATTTATTATTTAATTTAATTTATTTATTTTCAGACATATTACCCAACAAAATCACCCGTCATTCTAGAATGTTTAATACTTTACAAATAAAGCTATTCAAGTCATCTGCTGAAAATCTTGCATTTTTTCATATGGCAGAAGAACAAAATATCGCAGTGTCAGTTTTTTCCAGTATTGTTCAGCTGTAGTCGATAGAGTGTGTTTATAACTGGCCCCTCTCATCCTCAGGGGGGTCCGGGAGCACCAGGGGCCCCGGGAGAAAATGGCCCTCCAGGACCCACAGGAGACCAGGGTCCTCCGGTACGTGTTTCCACACACGTGCACATGATAGCAGCAACTGAACTGATGCTGAAACCTCCTCTGTCTGTTTCAGGGACACCTGGGACCCAAGGGAGAGAAGGGTGAGCGGGTGAGTCTGATAACGAGTCTGATCGGATAACGAGAACATCCTCACATTCTCAGACTGTTTAATTCATACTGTGTGTTTAATAGGGTGACGTCCAGTCAACGGCTTCTGTCCAAGCCATAGCCAGACAAGTGTGCGAGCAGCTGATCCAGAGTGAGTCCACAGACACGCGGATGCAAGGCATCCTGGGATTGCTTTCGCATGTCTGACGTCTCTTTCTCCGGTCGCAGGTCACATGGCACGGTACAGTTCTATTCTGAACCACATTCCTAGTCAGCCAGTGTCGATCCGCACCGTTCCCGGACCGCCAGGAGAGCCGGGACGACAGGGGACTCCAGGACCTCAGGGAGAGCAGGGGCCATCGGGACGACCGGGATTCCCTGGCACTAACGGAGAGAATGGCCAGCCGGGAGCGCGAGGTGGATGATTGCGTTTGTACTTACAGCCTGAAGCACACAGACAACACTAACCTGTCAGAAAAACAGCCGTTCATGATGGAGCGAGCAGAGAAGACGCAGAATCACACTTAAACTGTGTGTGTGTGTGTGTTTATCATCATCAGGACCTCTGGGTGAGAAGGGAGAGAAGGGCAGTCCAGGTGTGGGAGTCCAGGGACCCAGAGGACCTGCTGGACCACCAGGTGAACACACACGCACACACACACAAAACATTTATCAGATGTTAAATATGATCTGAAAATTCTATAGAGAAATCTGCAGATATAATTCTGGAAATGTATGGGATTTTGAAATGGAAAATGTCATTTGAAGAGTCACATGACATTACAACTGACTGTATTCACTCTCTTAATTCATGTGAGCAATTCATCAGTGACTGAGAAAATCAGTCCAGCAGTGTGTGTGTGTGTGTGTGTTTAGTCACTTGACTCCAAAGAATAAAAAGTATAGCTGAAGAATCTGTTTCCTGCTGTGCCACAGGAGCTCCTGGTGAAGGCCGAACAGGAAGTCCAGGTCCATCTGGTCGCCCCGGTAACCCCGGCAGTCCCGGCAGACCTGGGATTCCCGGACCTGTTGGTCCGCCCGGTCCGCCCGGATACTGCGACCAGAACTCCTGCCTCGGCTACAACGTGGGAGGTGAGTGTGTGTGTGTGTGTGTGTGTGTGTGTGTGAGAGAGAGTG